AAGACTTAATTGGACGAATTACATTTGAAATCATTCAAAACGAGTATCAAATTTTCATGTAGAAAAGGCAAAAATCCTACTTAGGCAATTCATCGTCTTTCCAAACTTTAACGCGACTTAACGCCGTAGTGCCGTAGTGACACTTTTCCTGATATGGGTCCCTATACTCAAATGTTTTCTACTGTTACACTGAATAACCCCTAGAAGTTTGATCCCTTAGTTCTGAAACGTATAATGCGATAAATCGGATGTATATATATCACGAGTGTGATGTCAGTTTTTCGTTGAGATCGACAATTTAGCATTTGTTATGACCATATTCGAAATGAGCCATCCAAATTTCAACAGGGTATTGAGATTCATTCATGTTTACCTACAGGTTATAGACCAAGAAATACAGAGATTTTGTAAAACATCCTACAACTTTTGCAACAGTATATTTTTTGATTATTGCAACGGCACAGAATGCTGTCCACGCTCTTTTTTATGCAGAAGCAGCCGCATAGGCAGAATCCTAAGCACCAGGCACCCCGGCTGCTATGAGGAGCTTAAAGAAACTTTGTTTGTTGATTTTCGAACTGCCTAAATACAGGGTTTGTCCGGAAAGTAATAAGACTGTCGATTTAAAAAAAAATATTGAGCCAATCGTTACAATTCTTTAAAAACTTTCAAAATAGGCTCCTTCTGCGTCGATGCAGCGCTGCCAGCGCGATTTCCAAGCATTAAAGGCGTCACGGAAGGCATTCTCCGGAATAGCCTTGAGAGCCGCGGTGCATGCTGCTTGGATCCCCTCTGTCGTCTCAAAATGCTTGCCTTTCATCGGCCTTTTCAGGCGAGGGAACAAAAAAAAATCCCGGGGGGCACATCTGGGTTGTAGGGCGGCTGCGGAAGCGTTGGGATGCTGTTCAAAAGAAAGACGGTGTGAGCCGGGGCGTTGTCATGGTGCAACCTCCAGTCGGCTGTGATGTCTTGTCGGACCCGACTGACCCTTCGTTTCAGTCTCCTGAGCACTTCCACGTAAAACTTGGCGTTGACGGTTTGTCCAGGAGGAACAAATTCATGGTGGACGATGCCTTTGATGTCAAAAAAGACAATGAGCATCGTTTTCACTTTAGATTTGTTCATTCTTCCCTTTTTTGGGCGAGGAGACGCCGTCGTGTGCCACTCGGAAGATTGCCTCTTTGTCTCGGGATCATACTCAAAGAGCCCCGACTCGTCACCTGTGATTACGTTATTCAAAAATTGGGGGTCACTTTCATACATGTTCAAATTTTCTTGGCGCACTTCCACTTGCCGCAAATTCTGGTCGTCAGTGAGCACTTTTGCGAGCATCTTCGCGCACACCTTTGCGCATGTTCAAATGCTGTGTCACAATGTCATGAACCACAAATTTTGGTCAATTTAACATCTGGACAATTAAACGAATACTTGTTGACGGTCTGAGTTCAAAAATTTGCGCACACGAGTCACATTATCGGTGTTTGTCGAAGTCGAAGGTCTTCCAGAACGGTCTTTATCAGCGACCTCTTCCCGCCACTCCAAAAACGCCTGATGCCACCAAAACACACCACTTCTTGCTAAAGCAACACCTGGGTAAGCCTGCTTGATCGTATCAAACGTCTCTGTCCCAGATTTACCGAGTGTTACACAGAATTTAATCGCGTACCTCTGCTCTAACGAACGCTGCATTTTCGGCTTGCACCACTCAAAGAAACACGTCGCTCGGAGACACCTGACCAGCCGCTCATTCGTTAGCTAGGAACGCCCTCTACCGAATCCAGTCGGTGCGCGCACTCTCCGGAGTACATGGCGGAAGAAAATGAGTCCTATTACTTTCCGGACAAACCCAGTATAGTAGAACTGGGAAAATCCTCCTCAAGTAAATTGTAGCATAATCTTGATACCACAGGGACAAAGGAGCGGACGTATCGTCCGGTTTTGAATGGGAGATGATCAACACCGTTAAGTTGGGAGGTCGAAGTCAGGCGGATCTGTCTGGCAGGCACATCGCGCGGCGGCATCATGGAGCTAGATCGATAACAGCTCGCCGCACAGTGAGGCAACTGACCGACTTAGGAGTGCCAAAGCCAAAAAATAAAAATGACATTTGGAGATCAGTGCTATCAGCAATGTAAACACAAGTATCTTAGGGTTCAAAAACATTTAGCATTTAGCCTTTCGTACGCTCACTGTTGGCCGGTAACAGAAACAAAGTCCAAGAAGTAAATCGAATCTATTCATAAGCATGTGAACAGTTTGTTGTTTCCGAGACGTTAAAGCTGCCGGATTGGTGTGAACAATCTCCAGACATAGCTATCGATAGCAATAGTACGTCATAATATTATCTTTATTTTATAGTCAACACCAAGAACTTAAAAATAAGTAAATAATATTATGAAGTATTTATGTAGACATCACTTGCAAGTTTAGGCCAGATTAAGCCCGATCTCAACCAATGATTTTATAAACAAACTTTGAATAACAGTTTTTAGGTGCACGTGTGATTCCGGCGTTTGGCGAAGCCAAAAAATTTTAGACACAAAGTTTTGCGTTCTGCAGTATATTGTAAGCAAATTGACATTTACTATAAGATAATACCAGTTGGGCATGGCGGGAAAATGGCGAAATACTGAGGATACCTCTATGTCGCCGCGTCATGGTCACCTGAGAAAATCTTACGGTAAAAGCCGAATGGAGCATTTAAATAAGTACAAAACCAATAACCCCCAGGATCTTTAATTTCTGAAGTACCTAGTAGTTTCTTTTTGGAAAAATACTTTTTGGGTTTTTCAAAGTGTAATCTTCATTTTATTTTTTTAACCACCCTGTACTCTTTGTTATCCAAATGCGGAATCAAATCTACTAAAGTAGGTCCCCTGTTCCAAATCACATGGCAAAACATGAGAAAAAATAATTGCAAATCATTATCGTTTTAGACCTGTATTCTGTATCGCATGGAAATACAGATGTACATAAATATTAATTTTATAATCGATCTCAAAATATATGGGAAGAAACGTCACTTTGCATCTTAGGAACAGAGAATTAAGTCTTCGTCATTCCTTTAGTGAGACATATGTTAATTTATTATTACCTTTCCTCCAATATTTTTCAATTGCGACGCTTCAAGCATACTACTTTTTGCGGAAAAGTACGTTTGTGCTATTTCAGGCTCTTTAAGATGTAAATAACGTTCTTTGCACTATTTTTACTCTGCAAGTTGAAAATATGAAGGTGTGTAAATTCTCATATATATACACGAAAAAGCTAGAAACGAAACTAAAATGCATCCCTTAAAACGTTGGTTAACCGGAAATAAAAGGTATAGATAACGTTTCATGTTATGCTAACCATTTAGGATTTCGTGAAAGTCGTATATACCACCGCCATGTTTTTGATCTATTCAACCTATTCAATACCTCTTTTCTTCCTCGAGACATATGGGCCCCACCCGAACTCAAGTTATATGTACGCCCCTCCCAAAATACCAACCCAGGTGGATGACAAATAAGAATTACAGTAGGTATAAATTTACCTTTTTTATTCGAAAATCTACATTTTTTACAGTGATATTCCATTCTTTGGTATTTCTGCGTACATAAATATGAGTACTATATTACAAAACTTATTGCACAAAGATATTATCTATTCTACTATTATATACAACATAACCGTGCTTTTAGTCTAAAGCTTCGAGTGTTGTGTGACAGGAGCTCTGTATCCGAGAAAAAAAAACAAGAAAAAACAGCGTGCTTCCAAAACATGGGATACAAATCAGAAGATGATTCTTTGCACTATTCATCGCGCATCGACAAATTACATTATTGCAACAACGATTATTGAATACAAATGTCATTAATCACATACAATAATGTGATAATTGATGTATCTTAATTTTTTGAGGCCAAGTTTCTGTTTGGTCGCTAGCTTGGCGACACCTCTGTGGCAGTTTTCATATAATTGTTTTATCTACAACCCCTTTTTTTCTACTTTTCTTCGAGATGAGAGATATTATGAAAAGTGAAAGAAACAGTGACCCGCTATCAAAAATGATTCATTTATATCACGCTTAAAGTATCTTTTTCATAGCTGTAATGTCACCCCCCCTGGCTAGACATTCTTCTTTGGTACGAGTACCTACATTTAAAAGATGTCAAGACAAAATATTATTTGACCATGTCGAACATGTATCACCATCATGTGATGTTATATTCCCGTATCCAAAAAATTACTCGAGATCAAATGGAAATTTGAAAAATAATTAGAAATCTACTTTGAAAAGGTTAGTGTCTCATATACAGGGTGTTAATAAAGTATGTAGACAAACTTTAACCATCGAATCCTTGGTCAATTTGAAGACGAAATTTCCATATGAACATGGGTCCGCAACGGCTTTGTTTTCAAGCTAGAGCATATTAGCACTAAAAGAAATGATTTATAAAAGAATGGAACGTATTTTATTTTAATTAAGTATGCCCTGTGAAGAATATCACATGATTTACAGTTGTTTTCAGACCCTCAATGTACGTAGATACGGATAATGTTATCCAGTATTTTTTGAAAAAATAGCATGACATTGATTTGTTTTGATTGCAATACTTTTAATATTTAAGCATTGTGCTTATGAAGACACCTATGACGTACCCGAAAACAATTGAATTAATTTATTTTCGCAAATAGTTCGACAACTGTCAAATATTTGTTTTCTTGTCTGGTCAATCTAAGACTCCAATTATTTCTGAGTTTTGGTGATTATCATAATGGTCCAGTTAAATAATCAAGAAATGACAGATATGCATTTCGTTTACGGAATGGCTCTGGGTAACGTTCATATTGAGCCTCAGCAGCTTAGTTTAGGTTATACCAACTGTTCAAAAAATACGTTTCATTATTCATAGAAATATTACTCGCATTTCTAACTCGTTTTTCATGTTCATATGAACATTTAGTCTTAAAATTGACAAAGGATTCGATGGGTAAAGTTTGTCTACATACTTTATTAACACGCTGTATGTCGCGGTATCTCATTGCATCTCGGATAACTTTTTGTACGTACGAATATAGTTAGTTAGGTTGGCCATCCTCAGGTAGAATACGTTAATCAACGGTATATCACTTTATATAGCCTTGCGGTATTTTTATTAATTAAAACCCTGGTTGAAACTGAAAATGTAAATACCGTATATCCACCCTTATAAGGTTACATAAAAATCCACAGTCTTTGACTGAATCATCAGTAAATACCGATTATGGTATGAACCACAGTAAATATTGATCGTGTGACATTCACCTAAGACTATTTTGCCCTTAGGCCGTTTTGTCTCTAATATTCAGGACGAACCAAATTTTTACAAAATATCTAATTCGTGAACAATAAATGTTGAGAATGACCAAATTATTCCGGAATAATTCAAAGTATCATCGCTTGAGTTTCTATACCTCCACCGGAAACACTCTGTTGGGCAGAAGGCTTTTGTGGACAAAAATATATAAGTTCAATTTAAGCAGTCTACTCTCGCGCCTTCAATAAAACTTAGATACCTACTTATTTCAAATTTAATGAAAATAGTATATTTTTCCATTCCTCTTTTCACGCATAGTATCGTCCAATCTTCAAAATGAAAAGTCAGTACGGCTATTGTCCATTTTCTGTACCCACTCGCTTTCGTATATGTTACTTAATAAAATCAAATAACTATGGACAGGTATGTCTCTTGACTCAGTTTAGTTTTAAAAAAGGTGTTTTCACACGAGGCAAGTACCTCGCATTCGTGTAAAAAGCTTTCTGGCTCGATTTCTGGTCATAATGTCGTTTGTTGGTTGCCCCTTGACATATATCAAGAGGTTGCTGGAAGGTGATCTAGTTGAACTTCGTTTAAATATGTTTCATTAAAAGCTTTGATTTGTTCGCTCCTAACAAAGCTTGTTTCTTAAATTCCTTGTGTCATTCTGAACAAAACAGGCGCTTAGCAATGCCTAATATATTTTACTTGAAGACTGCCAACCTAATACTATCTTCGCGAGTCCGAATAATTTTCCGATATCAAAGTTTACCTTCTACGATATAAGTAGAAATTTAATTTGGAAAGGTTAGTGTCCCATAGATGGCGCTGTAGCTCTATGCTAATATATAGTTAGCTACAGCGCCAACTATGAGATATCAACCTTTTCAACATAAATTTCTAATTATTCCGGAGAGGAGACTCATTGCTGTGACAAATTCTCAGACACACTCACACCAACACCAAGTTTTGAAAGCCACTACAAAACAAAAATTTTAAAATTTTTTGGTAAATTTTAATGGGATTTGAGGGAACATTTTTTGTTTTCATTTTAACCATGGCATTAACATTTTCAAAAACGTAATCCTTTCAATTCTTAAAAAAAATTACCATTTGCAACAAGGAAGCGGTTCGTTAGATCGTAATGGAACGTCGCATGTTTTTTGATGGTATATTCAATTGTAAAAGTCACACTCAACAATAGTCATTTCATGAAGATTTGAAATTTAGCTGTTGGTGTTCTGAAAAATCATAAATTACAATATTTTCTTGTATTTTAAAATGTATGACACAGATGAAAATATTTTTCTTTGAGATCACAGCAGACCCTTGTAGTTTATTCTCGTTTCCAGAACCGTCCTTAGATTTGCTGTGCGACGATTGGCTGTTGAGATATGGTCAATCAAAGGCAAAAGGGTTTTTGATTTATTGTTCGGCATTTTAGCTAAAGAGGTTTTATGTTAAAATAAGTAAATGGAAGCTGAATAGAAAAGCTATCCAGTCCATACCATCATACAGTTGGAATTATGTTTCCAAGCCTGAAGACTTGAGAAAAGAAGAGAAAAATTAGTGAAGTTTTTTCTCACGCTATTTGTTAAAATCACGTGAAAATGTTTTACTAAAATATATTAAAATCAGAAGGATGGAGCTTCAAGATGTTTTTTAAGCCTTAATATGACCATTTTTCACTGAACATGCTGAACAGTTACTAAGAATTCGGAAAAACATTTTAACTCTAATTTATTCCATTAGTGTAATTAATGACGCTACAATATCTCATTCCATCTCGGATAATTTTTTGGATGCGCGAGTATAGTATTAGGTTGGATATCTTCAGGTAGAATACGCTAGTCAAGGATCTTAGGACTATCCTACTATTCTCTAAGGCTGACCGTTATCGAGTTATAGGTCTGAAAAGCTCTAAGAATGTATTCCAATCGTTAATTAATTGTCAATAATGTTATGGGCAATGCATTTTATCCTGTTGTTTTCATGCTGGTAGAATTCTCTTTTTCTGGTCAACTTTCAGAATACGTATTGTCATTTCGTACTTTGAAGAATTACACTGCGATGTCCGAAACGTCAGTAAATAGTAATTTCTACGTAGGTATGTGACTTCATTTGGCCAGAAAGACATGGACTTCTAAGACTATGTGCCACGTGATTCCCTACTTGTTCGCAGAGGAAGTCCAAGGGCAGATCCAGGGGATGTCCTCAGAGTCCCCCTTAACTCCTCTCCGAAATATCCGTTGCCAGGCCCAAATTTGCGTCATTAGAAAAGTGCCTTCCGAATCAGAATATTTTCCCCATCAAATGAGAAGATATTGCCGGACTATATTAAGAAAAAAATCGAAGGCGCTTTTCAAATTGCATACCCCCACTGTTTTTCAATTTTAGATCGTCTGATCCTCCTGCTCTTCAATTTTCAATCGCCAATCTCCCCCTCCTCCCCGAGACGCACAATTTGCAAAACATGAATCCTAAGCCCCCCCTCCCCAGCACAACGAGTAATTTTAAGTTCATCATATGGGGCCAAAAAATAAATCTTCAAGATCGACCCTTGAATTTGCTTAAAAAAATTGGTTAAACAATCTTGCACCAGGTTACTCCCTGGAAACCTCTGCATTCATGTTAAGGGGCAAAATTTCTCTTAGGAATGCAAGGTCTTCGCCTCGTCTACTTAGTGATTGTATACATCATGTAAAATACACCATTGAATACCTATGCGTTTACAATTGTAATTGTAAACGTCTTGATATTCATGTAGACAATGTAAACAATGTATACAATAGCAAATATTAGTTTAATTAGGTCGCTTGCATAAGTATATTACATTTTATACAAAGTTATAGTTTCAAATGAACTCCAACATAACAAAATGCATTCTATTCAGAGTCGTCAACATCGTGAATATTTAGATTGGCAATGGTAATGGCGTTATCGTCCATTCGTAAGGAGTAACACACATGCTTTCTTACTAATTTTTCTCAAGTACCTTCTGATTTGATATGTGTTTCTGTTAGGCAAGTAGAAATTGTTAAAATAGGGAGCCGGTAGCCGCATATTACGATACGACAAACGTTAACTTTCCTGTACGATTTCAAGCGACATGTAATTGAATTAGACACATTTTTTAAAGATACAGCATTCGACGGAATACTTTCTTCAAGACTAAATAAGACGAATTTCCTTATTTTTTAGCGTGCTTAACCATATTGTCTTTATATTTACCGGTTCACTGTTATGACGTTTGCGAATAAACCTAACCCCACTTATTTTATTCTATACATTATCTACACTATTGTATACATTGTAGACTCATGACTTCCATTGTATACCCTGTGTATACGTTGTATACGCATTGTCTACATAAAATGTAGACAATTAAAGTATACGCACAAGCGCTCATCACTGTATTTAGTTAACTGAATCTTCATAAAGAAACGAAAGCCCTGACGTAACAATGAAACTTAAACGTAACTACAGCCCTAATTCTGTTCAGGAGAATCTCTACTTTCTACATTAATGTCTTCATCTGAAGTATGACTCGACAACCCCCCGACAAGCGAGGGGTGATAATAATTAAAATAGGGAAACAATTGCATCGAGTTCGAATACTGTTGACAAAAACTTAACATGGACTCCTGGATAGTTTTGGGGTATTTTTGAGCTATACTCTTATTGAGTTGATCGTATACGAAAAACTCGCTTTTCGGCTGTTCAGCGTAGAAATTTTTCTGGTAGATGGGCGATTTTTGATGCAGGAATAGGGGCATGTCGTCTTTGACGAGGACTTTGACAGCTACGCGCTTGGCATTTTGGTTCAGCATGCTTGATTCTTGCATCTGGAGCTGCTTTCGCTTCGTTTTGTATCTGAAACAAAAAAGAAGCAATTGATTAGGTCTAAAATATCTGTTACTCCCTACACTGCGGGCGAGGAAACATGTTATCCGCAAAAAATAAGATATTGTATTTGGATTTTATATGACATCACGAATAACTATCATGTCACTCATTTCCGTCGATCAATCTGAGTGTCGGCCCGTCCGCTAATCTTTGGGCTATCTATAACTTAGCAAGTACTGCTCAGATTTTGACGAAAAATTCACTCAAGGTCATTACTATGAAAAAAATGCTCAAACATCGTTTTATTGGCTTTTCAGAGGATTCTGATCATTTTTATAAAAACCCTTGCAGAGGTAAAGAATTGGATTGAATTATCCTTAAAACTTGAACGATAGAGATATACCTATTTTCGCTAAACGCGTGACGGATAACTCAACGAGTGTATGTCTGTCTGCTTCGACTGCTGAAGGATACCTGATCGATGATGCGTGTATCCGCCTATGCAACGCCGTGCCGGGTTTGCGAGCGTGCATTAGGCAGTGTTTCCACGTTGCTCGGTGGTGGGTACTGTGGGTAGTGCGGTAGGTTAGATCGCAATGTTGTCAAATCTGTGGGGACCATCGACTAATCGTATGAGCCTCTTTGACCGACACGATCCATCAAATTCCTTTGTTACTCATGTCCGTAGAAAACTTTTTTCTAAGACAGTCTAACTTGAATACAGAGTTAAGCTACTTGATGCTATTTTTTACAGTACTAATTGGGCAAACACTTGTTGCCTAGGTAAATATGGGCCGTAGTTTACGAATTCGCAGTCAATTTGGCACTAGAATCCACGGGAGGTCGCAAGCAACATATTATCTTCGTCAAACTCGATCCCAAAATATCTGATGATGATGATGACTTTTTGTGGTGTTCTTCTTAAATGAAATTGGAAACAGTAACCGTGTTGAATTTGCATTAAAACAACTGTTTAAAACATGTATAGCAAGCCTAACTTCCTATTTAAAAATTAAGGGATCCCACAGGTTTTTTTACGGGAAACGGATTTCTGATGAACTAGTTGTAATGTTGCATACAGGTAGTTTTCAACATGGTGATCAAAAGTATCAATGGGGCCAAACCACAGAAAGCCCTCCCTGGCCCCTGCGGAAACCAAACATCCCCAAAGCAAATGTTATTGATAGACATGGGACGACAACATAAGCTTTAGAGTAATATTATCAGAGAAGAAATAAAACATGCTATTGTTAAGATTTCTCACGGTGACCAGGGATTTGAGCCTGCCAGTGACCTTAAAAGTTATGGTTAAGATCAGAAAATGTTTTAAAGGTCTTACTTTTCACCACGAAAATGACCGAATCGAAAAGTCTACTTTCGTATAGTCCTTTAACATTTCAGGAACGCAAGCTTGTAATGTTGACAGAGAAGAAGCAAAACGTACTATTGTTAAGCTTTATTCGACACTGGCTAATAGTCAAGATATATTTTAGGCATTTAGATGATATTTTTGAATCAATAATCCGCCTGGCCTGTCTCTGAGTCTCCCTGAATATGCACAGTAATAAAAATTTATTTCATTTGGCTGACCGACATACTGTCAATTCGAACAGTTTTGAAGGCCCCAATACATTTTGATTTAGGCCTCTCTTATATCAAGGGGAGGCGGCCAAAGAATGTTCCTTTTGAAAGTCCTACAATAATTTGAAGACGTCCAAACCGGCAAGCGAGCATGAGGTTAGGTTATATGTCGGTTTCGTTTAACGACCAGACAATCATGTAGGATTTTTCTGTGATAAATTTTTAAAATCGCTGTATCTGTGTTTTGGTTTGGTTAAATTGGATGCACTGATTTTGAATTCGACGTCAATTCGATTCGAGGACACACGGGAGTTCCCAAGAAACCTACTTTCAATCACAAAGTATCATCCACGGCTCAAGGTTTTATGATGTCCACATTCGACTTTAGCGTCTCAAATTACCTAACATTACCAAGTTTTACTCGCTTAGGAACGACAATTGACGATGAAAATTTTGCCATACAAAATTCTATAATACTCATTTAAACGTTTTCTAGTGCCTTAATTTGAAATTCGATATTAGTTTGACGCCAGGACCCACCACCCGAGGGGGAAGGGGGCCGTGCACCCCCTGAATACCCGGTTAGACCTTAAACTTGGCATACTATATTTAGCATATTCTTTGTAAGATTTTGAGGATTTTTAAAATTCACCTTCCTCCTGGAAGAATTTGTTAACCCCCGCTCTTCAAAAAGTTTTGGGGAAGCTATACTTTCACAGAAAATTATCTCTTGCTGATGAGCGACTCCCATGAGAAAAATTCCTGCTGGCACCCTCAGGGGCAGGCTCGATCTGTCCAGATCTAGAGCTCGAAAATCCATAGGGCCTACCTGGAAAGAAATGAACGGAAACATTCAATCTCATATCCTACCTCCGATTCTGGTACCAAATTTTGACCTGCGTCTCTGTCAACTTCAACGCCTGTGCCAGGTCAGCCCTCTCCGGCCCGCTCAGGTAGCGCTGCTGACTGAACCGTCGCTCCAACTCGAACACCTGGGCATGCGTGAACGCAGCTCGGGAACGTTTCTTGCGTCCTCCTGTAGCGCACGTGGCAACGCCGCCTGGCGTGGAGCTGCACGCTGATTGGTCGACGTCGGATGGGTCGGCGTGGCGGTGGGAGGTCGATGGGGAGGGCGATCCTGGAACGGAGGTGAAGGTGAAATTTTTCTTCCGGGAGAATATTAACATATTTAAGATATAGAATTGTTCCGCTGAATTTGGCAATGTAGCTGGAAAACCCAGGCCGCAGGTAAACATCCGGTCGCTGATTGGTCCAAAACTCTTATCTTATCTGAAACTAGAATAACGTGCCGATGGCACGGTCATTTATAAACCTACTCCCATAGGCGTAGGCAGTTGGCAAATACTTTGAAAATATAATTTACTGTTTAGTGGTGATAATGGAATTCAAGCATGGGAAAGTTATTCACAGCCAGGCAAGGGAAATAATAGCAAACGTGATACGTGCTTGCGATGCAGAAGCGGCTAACAATACTTTCGTTTATCCACTGGTAGCTAGAAATGCAAGGGCGGCATATTATACGGGTGTTAGTGAACGAACTATAAGTAAAATTAGAAAAGAAGATAAAGACAGGCAAAATGCAACCTCCACACAGCCTTTAGCTTCTCCCGGAAAAAAGAGATCACGCCCTTCTGTGATCCAAAAAATTGATGGAGTCGATTTTTCCATTATTCGGAGAATGATAGAAAAATTTTACTGTGATTTTAAAGTGGTACCTACTTGTAGTAAACTTCTAATCAAACTGAAGGAAGAAATGGAATTTCCATTTGGTAAAGAATCGTTGAGGCTGCTTTTAAAAGCAAAAGGATTTTACTGGCGTAAATGCCACAACAAAAGGAAATTACTAATGGAAAGACCCAGTATTTTACATTGGCGATACAAGTATCTTAGGTCTATTAAAAAGTTCCGGGAAGAAGGAAGGCATATTATTTATTTGGACGAAACTTGGGTTGATAATGACCTCACTTTCAAGAAATGCTGGCAAAGCGAAGAAATTATGGGTGTCCTGAGCAATATAAGTTCTACAGGTAATAAAGTTTCTTTCACCTCGATTTTGCTTATTATACATTTTTCTCAATTTTGGAATATTCTTAATAAGTGCTCATTTAATTTGTCTAATTGAATACATAATCCCTTGCAAGTATTTTTTTCTCAAAAATATGTTTTTTATACATAGTGATTCAAAAAGGTGTTGGCAAACTTAAAATAACACTAAAATGAGGCTATTTATTCATTTCCAGGACGACTTATAATTGTTCATGCGGGTTCGCAAGATGGTTTTGTTCCTGGAGCCTGTCTCATTTTCAAGGCTGGCTGTGCCACTGGTGATTATCACGGTCAAATGAACCAAGAAAATTTCACGAAGTGGCTTACTGAAAAACTATTTCCTAACATTCCTCCTAATAGTATTATAATAATGGATAATGCACCTTACCATTCAGCTTTGGAAGACAAGCCTCCAACTAGATCTTCTCTAAAAAGAGACATCATCACGTGGTTGAGCAAAAAAGGTATAGAGCATGATCCTAATGCTAAAAAAATGGAGCTTTATGAAATAGCTTGTCTACATAGGCCACCATCTGATGAGAAAAATTATAAGATAGATAATTTAATAAGAAGTTTCGGACACACCCCACTTCGAACGCCACCCTATATGTGTCAGTTTAATCCCATAGAGATGATTTGGGCACAAGTAAAATTTTTCATTAGAAGCCATAATACAAGCGGCGAATTTACTATAAAAAAACTAGATGAAATTTCTAATAAGGCCATCGCTTCAGTAAGTGCCAGTGACTGGCAAAAGGTTATTGGACATGTTATAAAAATTGAAGATGAATATTGGGAAAAAGACAGTCTCATTCAAGAAATACAGGAAGAAATAATAATCAACATAGGAGGTGAAAGTGATAGCAATGACAGTTCCTCAGACAGTGATCATGACTCTAATCAGGATTGAAACTATACTAGATTGGCTACCTTTTAGAATTTTTAGATATTCATTTATTATACTATTGGTTTGTGGCTTTTAGTATCTCAGTAGAAAGTCTAATTCTATGTGTTGTTTATGGGTTATTTCATCAAGAAATTACTTTTTGTTTTCCTATATTTTTCTATTCAGTCAGATATTTTTGACTTGTTGTATTCTATTTTAGAAGAATGCATAATTTGTTTTGCTGTTCAATCATAATGCGTACATAGGAATATTACTTGTTGCCTAAAACTTGTGTGTTGAGCGATACGAGCGCAAAGAACTGCTTTGTCGCTCGAGACACATCATCTGACCGGCGAGTAGAGGCCCCTGGGTACACAGGAAGGGGCCCCAGGCCAGAGGAGGAGGGAGGAGGTAGTTACACATTTTTTTTTTAATTTAATTTCTGGGCATCTGAAGATCCCCAATAAAATCGGGGCCCTGTAAAGACAGAATAGCTAGCGAGAGTGTGTAAGGCAAAGGTTGCAGTCATTGTGAATTCCTGTAGGAGAGCTCCGGAAGAGTTACGCGGGGGGCATATTACCCATTCAAAATATCAGCGACACGCGGTAAGCTACGTTCACGTGACAGGGTGGTTCTAGCTAGTTGGATTTAGATGTTATAGTGGATGATACGTTTCGGCACATCATAAGTGAAAATAATCGTTTCTTATTTAGGTAGATATACCTTCATATTATTTGTTCGACTAGTTATATATTTTAGCAACAAAATAACCAATTGAGTTCGGACTCAACTGGTATATCTATATTATAAGGTTCTTTGAAAACCACTCATACAGATGTGCCAGGAATGGACTAGAACTAATGAAATATAATATACATGCTTCTATAATAGTCTCAAAAACTATTTTATTGAAAGTCTGATCATTTAGCTAAGCAATGTACGTATTTATATCTCATTTTGTTAAAATGGGTACTTTTTTGAGACGGCTTTGTTTGAATACAGTTCAATTTCTACTGCGGTCGATCCCAGAAAAGTTCAACGGAAGCCTAGAAGTTGATGAGGTGATCTGAAAATTTACATCTTTTAATTTTTTGAGTCGTTGATAATGTGGTACTTATTACTAATATGACTTTGTTTAATGATTTTAAAAATTTCCATATGAATATAATAATATACCTAGGTATATTCTTGTATTGTACGTTGAAATAACTGTCTGTTCGTTTACAAATCTATTCTGATTTTTTTATTATTTAAAGCAATTTTGACCAAGATGAAATACTCAAAAGGTTAATTATTAATTTACTTGCCTTATTTTTCGATAAATGATTTTGTCAATCACTTGGGGCGCTTAAAAGGTGTTTATTACTACAGATTTGGCGTATTTAGGTAAATCACTCATTATATTCCTAAAAACTTTTGTTTTCAGCTATGGAAAGGTCTCGGACCATACTACCTACCACTATGTCCATTCAAGTATCCATGAAACATCATATATACAGGTATATATTTATATATATATATATATATATATAAATATATATATATATATTACTTCTACGTGATGAATGATCAAAAAGAAACTATGTGTAGGCACCCAAAACATGTAGATGAAACATCCAGACATCCATTATTTTTCAAGTCCGTAGAGAACAATATAAACACACTCGCCATTTTTTTTACATCATGTACAAAACGCGTTCAGAAAAAGGACCATCTTAAGCAAAATGACTATCAGATTAAAATACCTAAAACTATAGCAACTATTTACAATCTATCGATGTTTGAGGTGACAGAAATTGTGAACATAATCACAAAAACTGTGGTCTTCTGATTTTTACGTAAAATTAACAGACTCGTTGCAGATTATGAAACTGAAAAGATTTCTGGCGACGGCGACGATGAGATGTATATTTTTATATTAGATAGTGTGTCGCAGTCGCTGCTCTCACTTTTTATAATATTATTTATTGTAAGGAAATGACGAAAGTAGTAAGAAGGAAAAGAAGAAGGGTAGTACAAATTACATGGAAACCACCAGAGAAGTGACGCCGGGTTAGTGACAAAAACGTACCTGGCATCAAAAAAAAAAATTCAGGTGGATTAATAATTATATTATTGTGATTAATGACTTTTGTATTCAAGAATAATTGTTTTTTACATAGTTGCATTAATGTACCATTTAAATTCACAAATATACAGTTAACAGGGTAAAAACTGGGAAAATGGCATCTGACGACACTACGTGAGCAACTGACGCGTTTATGGTTTCAGTAAACCAAATAACACTAGGTTCAAGCTATAATTCCTTGGTTTGCACGCATTCATCAAGATCAGGATTGTCACTTCCACAGAAAAATATGCTATTTGAATTTGAAAAACATGTCTTTTATGCGTTTATTGATATTTTTAGTGATGAGAATATATAATATATAACAATGCAAGGACTATTCATATATGGATATGCCAGATACACATAGAGGAGATAAGTCTTAAATGATTACCTTAAATTAATCTTATGTTCCAATTAAAGCATGATAGATACTATTTGCATAATTTATTTCCACAATTTGTCAGATTTTGTGAGGAACATTGAAATCCCGAAATACACCGATACCCAGTGGCGAAGCGTCCATGTAACCATTGTTACCAGTTAAAAATCTAAAAAATAAATATTTTATGACTGTACTGTACTCTGAAATAATTTCATTTATTTGTTTACCAACAGCGATATGTAATAGTAGTTCAGTAAATAGCAAATTAGCCCTACAAAAATAATGCGCTCTATAGGATCTAGGTTTTGCGAACACGATGAAGCTGACGTGGTTGTCGGTTGTTACCATTTTCATTTATGGATACACTTGGCAGTCCGTCGGGGACCTTCGGTGGCGGCTCGTGTCTGATCGCGGTCGTCAGAGTGTGTGGGTAGCTGCGACTATTATGTGGGCTTGTTACCATTTTTTGATTTGGTTACTCACTTCTCCCTCGTTAGTAATCGTTTCGGTTGCCGGCTGTAGTGTGCGTGCAATTAAACATGGATGAATATCGCTGCGTAATCGATCAACTACCTCAAAAGTACAATTTTTAAGAAAAAAAGCGAGATCATTGAAGATGGAAGACCAACACCTATTTTAGATCATTTTAAAAAGGAATAAAAAAACGCAGTTTGATATTTTAAATTAAGTTGG